GGAAACTGGGCTCAGGAAGGGGCACCTTGTCCGAGAGACCTCAGAGCCGGTCCGTGGTGGAGCCAAGCTGGTTTTGGAGCTTCCCGGATCCCACAGGCCAAGGCGCTCCCGACCCCGCACCACCCCGGACCCGTCCAATCGTTCCTTCAACACGTTTGCTGGGCACCCAGCAGATGCCAGGAGGCCTGCACCGAGGCACAGGGAGGATCTGGACAAGGAGAGCTTCCTGGGGACTCTCCCTCTGGTGCTGGAGACAGGCGTGTCGATGGCGACAGACGGGACTTGACTCAGCCTGGGAGGTCCCTATTCAGCCCTTAAGGACTAAAGAGGAGTTGATACAAGGCGCAGAGGCGGGCAGGTTCGATGAGGGAGGAACAAATGCGCGCGGGGCCTGTGGAGAAGAGGGGGAGAGAGCACGTCTGGAGAGGTGGATGGGGACCAGCCTGCTAGGCTTCTTAGAATGTTTCGAGGCGGTGATCCTCATCCTTTAGGTGAGGCGGAGGCACCACAGCCCGAATTTCGGCATTTAGAAAGATCCCTGTGGTAGTGTGAGATGGGCTGGAAGGGTTCAGCAACAGAGACCTGCGATGCTGGCAAAGAAAGATGACGGGTACCAGGTGCAGTGAGTCACGCACTGTGATCCCAGCGCTTTGGGAGGCCTGGCGGAGGCGGATCACCTGAGGCCAGGAGTTTGAGACCAGCCTGGTCAACATGGTGAAACTACATCTCGACTAAAAATACAAAAACGAGCTGGGCGTGGTGTGGAGTGGGAGGTGCATTTGGGAGGCTGAGGCAGGAAGAATCGGCTTGAACTCGGGAGGTGGAGGTTGCAGTGAGCCGAGATCGCACCATTGCGCTCCAGCCTGGGCAACAAGAGCGAAACTCCATCTCCAAAAAGACAAAAACAAACAAACAAACAAACAAAAAAGGAAGATGATGAGGTGGACGACCCCACAGCTCAGCCCCTCGAATTCGCGTGCCCTTAGGACCAGAGCGGGTCATGCAATTTGCCCCCTGTCCTCCAGCAGAGGGCGACTCCACCCACAGCACAAGGCGGGGTTGGGGTCTGAATGACAGGGGAGGGTGAGTAGGAAAGGGTCAGTGGAGGGGAGCCAGCAAGGGAATCCTGGCCCCCGGACTGGGTGCTGCACATCCATCCCAGATGCAAAAATGTTGCTTACTAATTCCCTGCTCCCCAGAGACCAACCCCAAACCTAACCTTGACCACTACCTCTTTCTGCACCATTACCTCCAGTTCACAGGTCTGTCCTCAGAGGATGCTCCGACTTAACTCACCAGAGGTGATGGCTGGGCTGAGCGGTGGCTCACGCCTGTAAGCCCAGCACTGGGAGGCTGGGGTGGAGGCGACGGATCACCTGAGGTCAGGAGTTCAAGACCAGCACAGCCAACATGGTGAAACCCCGTCTCTACAAAAATACAAAATTAGCCAGGTGTGGTGGCGCGTACATAATCCCAGCTACTCAGAAGACTGAGGCAGAAGAATTGCTTAAGCCTGGGAGGCAGAGGCTGCAGTGAGTCAAGATCGTGCCATTGCACTCCAGCCTGGGCAACAGAGCGAGACTCCATCTCAAAAAAAAAAAAAAAAAGAAAAAGAGAAGGCGATGGCTGAAGGTGGGCCTCCCTCTAAAGAAAGCAACAGGCGCAAACATCACCCGGGACTACTCAGCGACTGTCTGCAGCTAGGGATCCCATGTGGGGGCTCACTTTTTCTTGACTAGCCCCCTCCCAGAAGCGTGGTCTCTTTTTGAGTCTAGTGCAGGACACAATTTTCCCGGCCTCAACAAAGAAGTCACCCCGGGTCGATGGACTCCTCCCAGTGGGATTTGTCTTGCGTGCGCCCGGCAGAGACGAGGGGGGAAGGAGCAGGGAAGAGCGCCGGAAACCTGGGACAGGGACCTGCTGGGATAGCCACAGCCACCCACTGACCATTCCATAGCTTTCAAGAAACTCCAGAAGACCAAGAGGCAGCGCACACTCCAGCAGGACGCCTCTCCTGCCCTCAGGACCAAGGGCAGCGCAGACTCGGGACGCCGTTCCTGCCCTCAGGACCAAGGGGGCAGCGCAGACTCGGGCCTTTGTTTCCCTGCCCTCAGGACCAGGGCAGGCGCAGACTCGGGGCAGCCCTTCCCTGCCCTCAGCGCCTGCGCCTCCTCCCCTGCGAGCCCCTCTCGGCCCCACTGAAGGGCCACCTCCAAGGAAGAGTCGCAGGACGATCTTCCCTGCCTCTCAGCCTTTCAGTCGGGTGGTTCTCAGCCCAGCTGGTATTCTGCCCGTCACAACTGCAGGGGAGGTGCCTAACATTTACTGGGTAGAAACCGAGCAGCTCTTAAACATCCTACAACGGGCCGGGTGAGGTGGCTCACGCCTGTAATCCCAGCACTTTTTGGGAGGCCAATGCGGAGGATTGCCTGAGCCGAGGGGGTTCAAGATCAGCCTGGCCAACATGGTGAGACCCCATTTCTATAAAAATTTAAAAAAATTAGCCACGCGTGGTGGCGCACCTGCAGCCCCTGGCTACTGGGAGGCTGAGGCGGGAGGATCACTTGAGCCCAGGAATTCAAGACTGCAGTGAGCCATGATCATGCCACTGCACTCCAGCCTGGGTAACAGAGGCAAAGACCCTGTCTCTGAAATCAACATCCTCAGAGGTCTGAGGAAAATACATATTATCAGACTGGAAAAGTGTGAAATATGAAATAGAAAATAAAACAAAAACATCCTACAACACCCAGGACAGCCCTCTGCGCATTGTAGAATGTTTAACGGCACGTCAGAGGATGTGTGTAAGACCACAGCAACCCAATTTATCCAACCCAAAGTCAGCAGCACTCCAGGCTAAGAAACTGTCTGCAGCTAATCCTGCCTTTTTTTTTTTTTTTTTTTTTTTTTTTGGGAGACAGAGTTTTGCTCTCGTTGTCAGGCTAGAGTGCAGTGGTGTGATCTGGACTGGCCGCAACCTCTACCTACCTCCCGGGTTCAAGCGATTCTCCTGCCTCAGCCTCATGATTGGCTGAGATTAAGCGCCTGCCACCACGCCTGGCTAATTTTTGTATTTTTAGTAGAGACGGGGGTTTCTCCATGTTGGTCAGGGTGGTCTTGAACTCCCAACTTCCTCCAGGTGATCCGCCCTCAGCCTCCCAAAGTGTTGGGATTACAGGTGTGAGCCCCTGCGCCCGGCCTAATCCTGCCTCTTTTTAGCAGAAGTAGGGTAGAAGACTGAAGTTCAGGGACTCACCACCCAGGATCCAGGAATATCCCAGCCACGCCTTGGCTGGGGACTGACTCAAACCCACCCACAGCTGCAGAGCTGCCGGCACATGCCTCCTGGCTCTGGAAGAGACTCGGGCTGTCACTGCTACCTGGGGACAGCCGGCGAGAAGCTGTAAAAATCCCGAAAACCCCTCTTTTCCCACGCCCATTCTGATCTTGCCAGCTCTGGTTCTTTCTGGGAGCACTGGGACACGTTCCTCCCTGAGTGCAGCTGCCAGGCCCAGGAAATTGGGGAAGCGGGTAGGGAGGGAGAGGTACTCACAAGCGCCCATGAGTGCCACCCCAGAGCCCACGTTGATGATGGTGGGGATGATACTGAACTTCCCTGCCTGGAAGACACAGACAAGGCGTGGCGAGGCAAGGTGGTTGCCAATGGGGCCTCGGGGACCCTCCCAGCATTACCCCGCCCCCCCGCCCCCCTCCCCTGCCCAGCCTCAGAACAGAGGGGCCCACAAGGGGGACCACCCAGCATCCCACCCCCACCACCCAGCCTCAGAACAGGAGAATGCACAGTGGGCCCCAGGAGACCACTCCCAGCATCCCCCCACCCCCACCACCCAGCCTCCAGAACAGGAGAAGGCACAGTGGGGCCCCAGAGACTCTTTCCTTGCATCCCCCCCCATGCCCCCAGCCTCAGAACAGGAGAAGGCACACACACCTTGCCGTTCACCATCACGTCGGGCGGATCCCGTAGGCTTTTTCATCGGTCTCCTCCACTCCGCTTCCTCCACCCTGCGTCCTCCACTCCACTTCCTCCACCCCGCTTCCTCCACCCTGCGTCCTCCACTCCACTTCCTCCACCCTGCTTCCTCCACCCTGCGTCCTCCACTCCACTTCCTCCACCCTGCGTCCTCCACTCCACTTCCTCCACCCCGCTTCCTCCACCCTGCATCCTCCACTCCACTTCACCCCACTTCCTCCACCCTGCGTCCTCCACTCCGCTTCCTCCACCCTGTTTCTTCCACCCCTCGTCCTCCTCCCTGCATCCTCCACCCTGCCTCCTCTACCCTGCTTCCTCCAGGAGCACAGTCAGGACTGTGGTTGGGGTTCAGCCTGCGGCCTGGGTCAGGGCACACCCTATAACCCAGGGCTGGGGTTCAGGCCACAGCTGGAGTGCAGCAAGGTGAATGACACAGGCAGACCCAACACCCACTGTCCCAGGCTGTGGGGGCACTAAGGTGTCTGCCCCAACTCCCACTCTGATCCCCGCTTCTCCAGAAAGCCTTCCTCAAAGGCCGAAGCCACAGCCCCTTCCCCTTCCCGTCCACCCACAGTCATCGGGGTTCCCCACCCATGCTATGCTCTGCCGCTCTGAACACACACACCCCACCGAACCCAGGGCCCGGGAAACTCCGGAAACAGCCTCTGCACAGAAGAAAACATCTGCTTTCCAGCCGGGCGCAGTGGCTCAGGCCTGTAATCCCAGTAGTTTGGGAGGCCGAGGTAGGTGGATCATCTGAAGTCAGGAGTTCGAGACCAGCCTGACCAACATGGTGAAACCCCATCTCTACTAAAAATACAAAATTAGCCTGGCGTGGTGGTGCATGTTTCTAATCCCAGCTACTCAGGAGGCCGAGGCAGGAGAATCGCTTGAACCCGGGAGGCGGAGGTTGCAGTGAGCCGAGATGCTGCCATTGCATTCCAGCCTGGGCGACTGAGTGAAACTTGGTCTCAAAAAAAAAAAAAAAAAAAAAAAAAGCCATCCACTTTCCTTTCCTTTACTACTCCAGCTTCCCTCAGCCCCGGCCCACCAGCATCACCAAGTCCAAGAATCCCAAAACAAAAGTGCTGCAGACACCCATTCGATTCGTAGACCAGCTCTCTCATCTCCCAGATAGAGAAACCAAGGCCCAAGGAGGCCTGGGACTTGTCCGGAGTCAGACGGAGCCTGTGAACTCCGTCTCCCACCCCGTGGCCCACAGCGCCCTCTCCTCCCACTGCTGCCGAGGCCGAATCCGGTTCTGTAGAGCATGTACTCAGAACACTGCTCCTCCCCGGGCCCTCCAGCCCCTGCCTCCCACCCCAGCCGTCAATATTCACATCGGGGTAAAGGTGCAAAGCCAGGGGGGCGCTCCACAGGCCTGCACTTGGACCGCGGCCTGAAAGCAGAAACTGACCTTACTTCCTCGTATTTCCTGTCGCGGTAAAACTCTCTCTTTTTGATGAGGTAGATGAGTACCAGGTCGCAGAAGAAAGCCCCCTGCAAAAGAGGGTGTCTGATCAGAATGCTAGACCTCCGAGAGCACTGCTCATTTGGGGCCCCTTGTTGTTCGATCCTGCAACAGCCCCTAAGGGAGGCCTCACTGTCCCCATTTAACAGATAAGGAAACTGGGCTCAGGAAGGGGCACCCTTGTCCGAGACCTCAGAGCCGGTCCGTGGTGGAGCCCAAGCTGGACCGGAGCTTCCCCGGATCCCACAGGCCAGGCGCTCCCCAACCCCGCACCACCCGGACCCCGTCCAATCGTTCCTTCAACACGTTTGCTGGGCACCCAGCAGATGCCAGGGCCTGCACCGAGGCACAGGGAGGATCTGGACAAGAGAGGCTTCCTGGGGACTCTCCCTCTGGTGCTGGAGACAGGCGTGTCGATGATGACCCAGACGGGACTTGACTCAGCCTGGGGAGGGTCCCTATTCAGTCCTTAAGGACTAAAGAGGAGTTGATACAAGACGCAGAGGCGGAAGGACATTCCAGGGGGGAGGAACAAATGCCGCGGGGCCTGTGCGGGAAGAGGGAGAGGTGGATGGGGACCAGCCTGCTAGGCTTCTTAGAATGTTTCCGAGGCATTGATCCTCATCCTTTAGGTGAGGCGGAGGCACCACAGCCCGAATTTCGGCATTTAGAAAGATCCCTGTGGTAGTGTGAGATGGGCTGGAAGGGTTCCAACCAGCAAGGACACTACGGTTCTGGCCAAAGAAAGATGACGGGTACCAGGTGCAGTGGGTCACGCCTGTGATCCCAGCGCTTTGGGAGGCCTAGGCGGGCGGATCACCTGAGGCCAGGAGTTTGAGACCAGCCTGGTCAACATGGTGAAACCCCATCTCGACTAAAAATACAAAAACGAGCTGGGCGTGGTGGCAGGTGCCTGTAATCCCAGCTACTCGGGAGGCTGAGGCAGGAGAATCGCTTGAACTCGGGAGGTGGAGGTTGCAGTGAGCCGAGATCGCACCATTGCACTCCAGCCTGGGCAACAAGAGCGAAACTCCATCTCAAAAAAGACAAAAACAAACAAACAAACAAAAAGGAAGATGATGAGGTGGACGACCCCACCTCAGCCCCTCGAACCCAAAACGTGCCCTTAGGACCAGAGCGGGTCATGCAATTGCCCCTGTCCTCCAGCAGAGGGCGACTCCACCCACAGCACAAGGCGGGGTTGGGGTCTGAATGACGGGGGAGGGTGGAGGTGGGAAGGGTCGGTGGAGGGGCCAGCAAGGAATCCTGGCCCCCGGACCCTGGGTGCTGCACATCCATCCCCCAGATGCCAAAAATGTTGCTTACTAATTCCCTGCTCCCCAGAGACCAACCCCAAACCTAACCTTGACCACTACCTCTTTCTGCACCATTACCTCCAGTTCACAGGTCTGTCCTCAGAGGATGCTCCGACTTAACTCACCAGAAGGTGATGACTGGGCTGGCCGCGGTGGCTCACGCCTGTAAGCCCAGCACTGGGAGGCTGGGGTGGGCGGATCACCTGAGGTCAGGAGTTCAAGACCAGCCTGGCCAACATGGTGAAACCCCGTCTCTACAAAAATACAAAAATTAGCCAGGTGTGGTAGCACGTGCCTGTAATCCCATCTACTCAGAAGACTGAGGCAGAAGAATTGCTTAAGCCTGGGAGGCAGAGGCTGCAGTGAGTCAAGATCGTGCCATTGCACTCCAGCCTGGGCAACAGAGCGAGACTCCATCTAAAAAAAAAAAAAAAGAAAAAGAGAAGCGATGGCTGAAGGTGGGCCTCCCTCTAAGAAAGCAACAGGCGCAAACATCTGGGACCCTCCCAGCGACTGTCTGCAGCTAGGGATCCATGTGGGGCTCACTTTTCTTGACCCCCTCCCAGAAGCGTGGTCTCTTTTGAGTCCTGGTGCAGGACACAATTTTCCCGGCCTCAACAAAAGTCACCCCGGGTCCCGATGGACTCCTCCAGTGGGGTTGTCTTGCGTGCGCCGGCAGAGGAACGAGGGAAGGAACGAGGGAAGAGGCCGCCGGAAACCTGGGACAGGGACCTGCTGGGATAGCCACCAGCCACCCACTGACCATTCCCATGGCTTTCAAAAACTCCAGAAGACCAAGGGGCAGCGCAGACTCAGGACGCCTTTCCCTGCCCTCAGGACCAAGGGGCAGCGCAGACTCGGGACGCCGTTCCCTGCCCTCAGGACCAAGGGGCAGCGCAGACTCAGGACGCCGTTCCCTGCCCTCAGCGCCTGCGCCTCCTCCCCTGCGAGCCCCCCTCGGCCCCACTGAAGGGCCACCTCCAAGGAAGAGTCGCAGGGCCGTCTTCCCTGCCTCTCAGCCTTTCAGTCGGGTGGTTCTCAGCCAGCTGGTATTCTGCCCGTCACAACTGCAGGGGAGGGTGCCCCTGACATTTACTGGGTAGAAACCGGGAACGCTCTTAAACATCCTACAAATGGGCCAGGCGAGGTGGCTCACGCCTGTAATCCCAGCACTTTGGGAGGCCAATGCCGGAGGATTGCCTGAGCCCAGGGGTTCAAGATCAGCCTGGCCAACATAGTGAGACCCCATTTCTATAAAAAATTTAAAAATTAGCCACGCGTGGTGGCGCACCTGCAGCCCTGGCTACTGGGGAGGCTGAGGCGGGAGGATCACTTGAGCCCAGGAATTCAAGACTGCAGTGAGCCATGATCATGCCACTGCACTCCAGCCTGGGTAACAGAGCAAGACCCTGTCTCTGAAATCAACATCCTCAGGGTCTGGGAAAATACATATTATCAGACTGGAAAAGTGTGAAATATGAAATAGAAAATAAAACAAAAACATCCTACAACACCCAGGACAGCCCTCTGCGCATTGTAGAATGTTTAACGGCACGTCAGAGGATGTGTGTAAGACCACAGCAACCCAATTATCCAACCCAAAAAGTCAGCAGCACTCAGGCTAAGAAACTGTCTGCAGCCTAATCCTGCCTTTTTTTTTTTTTTTTTTGAGACAGAGTTTTGCTCTCGTTGTCCAGGCTAGAGTGCAGTGGTGTGATCTGGACTGACCGCAACCTCTACCTCCCGGGTTCAAGCGATTCTCCTGCCTCAGCCTCCTGATTAGCTGAGATTAAAGGCGCCTGCCACCACGCCTGGCTAATTTTTGTATTTTTAGTAGAGACGGGGTTTCTCCATGTTGGTCAGGGTGGTCTTGAACTCCCAACCTCAGGTGATCCGCCCGCCTCAGCCTCCCAAAGTGTTGGGATTACAGGTGTGAGCCCCTGCGCCCGGCCTAATCCTGCCCTCTTTTAGCAGAAGTAGAGATGAAGACTAGAAGTTCAGGGACTCACCTGGGATCCCAGGAATATCCCAGCCACGCCTTGGCTGGGGACTGACTCAAACCCACCCACAGCTGCAGAGCTGCCGGCACATGCCTCCCTGGCTCTGGAAAGAGACTCGGGCTGTCACTGCTACCTGGGGACAGCCGGCAGAGCGCAAAATCCCAGAAAGCCCTCTTTTCCCACGCCCATTCTGATCTTGCCAGCTCTGGTTCTTTCTGGGGGCACTGGGACACGTTCCTCCTGAAGTGCAGCTGCCAGGGGAGAGGGTGGGAAGCGGGTAGGGAGGGGAGGTACTCACAGCGCCCATGAGTGCCACCCCAGAGCCCACGTTGATGATGGTGGGGATGATACTGAACTTCCCTGCCTGGAAGACACAGATAAGGCGAATGAGCGAGGCAGGGTGGACAGTGGGGCCTCCAGGGACCCTCCCAACGTACCCCACGCCCCCCCCCCCCCGCCCCCTCCTGCCCAGCCTCAGAACAGAGGGGCCCCCAGGGACCCTCCCAACATCCCCCACCCCCCACCACCCAGCCTCAGAACAGGAGAAGGCACAGTGGGGGCCCTCAGGGACTCTCCCAACGTCCCCCATGCCCCAGCCTCAGAACAGGAGAAGGCACACACACCTTGCCGTTCACCATCACGTCGAAGCGGATCCCGTAGGCTTTCATCAGGGTGCGGAACTCCACCCCGGCCGCGTCTCGGTAATATCTGGCAAATCTGAGGGAGGCAGGAGCCCGGGGAGGCCTCAGCCTGCCTGGCCTTCCCTCTTTTGGCAGCACCGATGTGGCTGCTCTGGGGACTTAGAAGGACTCCCGGGACCCTGACTCTGAGCAGCCCCAGGAGCGGCTTGCAGACCCTCTCACCGAGCCAAAAACAAAGACGCATCCAACTCTTTGAAATCCCTGCCAGACATTCCCTGAGGAGCAAGGGCCTCCCCGCCACTCTGAGCAAGCCCTGGGTCGCCGAGGCGCGGAGGGAACGGATGCAGCAGAGGCAGTAAGACTCGGCTTCACCAAGAGAACAGGCAAAGGGGTGCTCTCCTCTCCCGGAGCACCTCCAGCTTTGGTCGCTGGCCGCTCTGCTGGGGTCCACACCTCTCCTCGGTCATCTGTCCCTGCACCTCCCGCTCTGACGCCCACCCCAGGAAGGGGTCTCATGGTGCCAGCACCCAGAGAAGTGCCACTGATCATGGCCAGGTCACAAGGGGGCACAGGCAGCGGTTACCTGAAGTTGTACCCAGAGGAGGCAGACTTTGAAAGCTTATTGTCCAGACGGCTAAAAGAATAGTGAGGGTGGCACTCAGAGGCAGCCTTGTCGAGATCACAGTTCCATTCAATATTAATTCCTATCACACCACCCTTGATAAAAGAGAGACTACGGTCAGCACACAGAGCTTTCCGGAGACCGACAGCATCCCAGGCCAGCCCTTCACCGGCACTGGACAATAGGAGGAGGTGCTCAGGCACGAGGTCAGCTCCTCGAGACCACCCTTTGGGAGGCTTAGTCCCCCCATGGAGCGGCTGAGAACACTGCATCGCCCCAGCCCCAGGGCTGCCTCCCTCATTCTTCAGGGAGAAGGAAGCCACCCAGGGTGGGCATCTCCTCTGGACAGGCACTTCACACTCCAGCCAGGGTGTGCCAAAGGAGCTCCTTCTGCCTCACCTGCAGCTGGTGCCTCAAGGACTCAGAACTGCACAGCACGTGCCAGGGCTGGCTCTCACTGAGTGCCCGTGGTCTGAGTGCTGCGACAGCCTGCCTGTGTGCCACAGCCAATTCTGAAAACAGTGAGTCCCTGGGGGCAGGTGACTTTGCAGAGCCACCCTCGCCCCACGAGTCCGTCCACACGTCCACACCCTCCTCCTCTACACTCTCCTCCTCGAAGAGCCAGTCCCAGCGCCCCCAAGCCCTCAGGGAGGGCTCCCTTCATGCACCCCACCCACCTCCAGAGCTATATCCTGGAAGTCGCTCCCAGCCCAGCGGATCACGGAGCCCAGTCGGAAGATGGGGCAGTAGTGGTTCTTGGGGCCAAAGTGGCAGGATTTCAGGAAAGATCTGTCCTTGACGTCCACCACATTGCTCCTGGGTGGAGGCCACAGGCAGCCGAGAAATGAGGTAAGACTTAATATTCCCGGGCCTGGCCAGGAGTCACTCCATCCCTCACCAACCTGAGTCCTGACAGCTCCCTGCAGCAGCACCCTACTTAACAGCAGGGGGAAGGGGCGCCCCAGTGTCACCCACCGTTTATTCACATGCAGACATCACACACACACACACACGCACACACACATGCACACACACACATACACCCCAGGCACAGACCCAAGGAGGGCCAGCCTAGGCCCCTCATGGACCAAGGCCCACCCCTGGCCCCCAGTAGCCAAGCCCACATACTTGGAGAAGTTGAATTTGGGGAAACGGATGTGGTTCTTTATGAAAATGGTGAAGTCTTCGGCCTCCTTCAGGACTGGCTCCCTGAAAACCAACCCAGAACAGCCTGTCCAGGAGGCCCCACCCCTTGGCCCCTTCCCCAGGCCTGGGCCAGCGTGAGGCCTGTTCCTTGGGTCCCCTGGAGCCTCTGCCAAGAACAGTAAATTTGCTCATGCTGGGGAGGTTGTCCGGCCTTGTTGGGACAGCCTGACTTCTCCCTCAGCATGAGGCTCCCAGAGTGGGCAGGACTCCACCCTCAGGCTGGGACCCAGTGCGTGGGGGCCGGGAAACCCCTCAGGGTCCTGAGGCTGCAGCCACTCACACCGGCCTGGAGCTTGTCTCCACCGGGCACCAGGCAAAGATCTCACAGGTGCCTCTGGCCGAGTTCTCTTTCGGCAGGCAGCGGCCAGTCTTCACTCCTGCAGGGGTGGGACAGGATCAATGCCAGGAGCCTCCCACTCCAAGTCCTCCTTCAGCCCCTGGCCGCTCCAGGCCCTCACCATTTCCAGCTGCAACCGCCTCCCCAGGGTGGCAGTCACTGTCCTTGGAGCATGTGCCGTCAGGAATGCCTTCATTCTGCCGGGAGAGAAGGAGCACCTGGATGCGGGGTGGGATCCCCCCAGCTCAGATCCGAGTCCCACTCTGGGAGTTAGAATAGGGGTTCTTCTCTGACCTGGGCCACACACACTTTGAGAACCTGCTTCCTCCCCATATAATTCAGGAACCACACACGGGCGCACTCAACCTCCTGAGACCCTCGGAGTGGACGGACACCCTTGCTTCAGAAGACAGTAGACCCCAACCACGGCCGGTGGCTCTCCCACCCCCACGCCCGGGCCCCTCGCCACGTCAAACCTCAGCACAGACGTTCTGCCGCTGGTTGGGGGTCACGATCAGGTTGGTGACCACAAAAAAGACGTTCTCTCCCTAAGGAACCAGAGAGGTACTAAGGAACCTCCTCCCGCCCTCTTAAGGACCACCCCCGCCTTCCCAGCATTACCTGGAAGAGGGTGGTCCCTCTGCCTGCGTACTGGGGATAATGGGGCCACAAAATCGGTGGACTCTGCCCACCTGTTCATGGAGCCCACAGTCCCCGAGTAGATGCCTATTGATATATCTCCTCCAGACTCACAAACCCCCACTGCCCCAGGATCCGGGAGAAGCGGGGGCAGGGCTCAGGCTGCCCTGGCCCTGGCCAATTGTGAACAGGCTGGAGAGCTATTCCCAGAGGCAGTGACTTAGAAGGGGGGTTCTCTGTGCCAGCCCACCTGACTCACAAGGACCTGAAAGTTCTCTGGATCCCATTTGTTCTCAACAGACTCAGAGAGAATAGAGCAGTCGTCCGCGGCGCAGTCAAAGAGGGGTTTGGCTTGGGAGGTAGGATCTGGACAGGGTCGCTCTCTGCAAGCCCCGGCAGCTGTCTTGGGCCAAGGGAGATGACGGGTGGGGGTCCCTGGGGGTCCCTGGGTACCCAAGAAGCTTGAGGTGTGACCCACCCGAACCAGGCAGGCCCTGCCAGCCCTCGCCACAGTGCTAGGTGGGGACTCAGACCTGGGCCGGAATGACGTAGTCGGCGACATCCCAGATTCGCTCCCCAAGATCCGAGGTGTTGGTGAAGGCCACGCCCTTGACTTTGGTGATGACAGCACTCTGCAGGGAGGTGTCGATGTCTTGGTAACCCTTCTTTACCAGGAACACCCATCTGTGGGAAGGGACCGGTACGTAAGCATCAGCCACACTGCTGCCTTCAGGGAGCTCCCCCAGGCCCGGGGTCGGGTACGAGTCACAGCAACTCTTACTTGAGGTGGGGCCGGCTCAGAGCTCCACCTGTCCCACCAGCTCCTGGGCAGGGGCCACCTCCCACTGCTGACTAAAACCCAGTCCTGCAAGCAGCAGAGGCGACAAGCAACCCCAGAGATGGGGGCTCTAAAGAGGCAAAGACCACAGTCCACTCAGAGGCCCCAAGTGGACAAGCCTGGGCTGAAACCAGCTCAACCACATACCGGTTTGGTGACCCCAGGCAAGCCAGTTTCCGATACATAACATGGGGTGACAGTGCCTCCCTCTGGGGTTGTGATGATGGTTAGATGAAATGGTGCCTAATCTGAAACCAATCACGATGAGACCTCAAACAAACCCAGACTGAGGGGCACTCTACAAAATAAGAGTACAGGCCAGGCACGGTGGCTCACGCCTGTACTCCCAGCACTTTGGGAGACCAAGGAAGGAGGATCGCTTGAGCCCAGGAGTTTGAGACCAGCCTGGGCAACATAGTGAGACCCCATCTCTATGAAAAATAAAAAAGTAATCTAGGCATGGTGGTACCAGCCTGTTGTCCCAGCTACTCGGGAGGCTGAGGCGGGAGGATCCCTTGAGCCTGGGAGGTCAAGGCTGCAGTGAGCCGTGATTGTGCCACTGCACTCCAGCCCGGGTGACAGAGTGAGACCCAGCCTCAAAAACAACAAAATAATGAAATAAGAGTACAAATCCCATACTTTTTGACACCAAAAACACAAGCAATAAAAGAAAAAGTAGGTAAGTTGGACTTCATAAAAATTTAAAACTTTCATGCATCAAAAAACACTCTCAAAAAAGTGAAAAGACAACCCACAGAATATGAGAGAACACATCTGAAATAATGCATCTGGTAAGGGTTTAGTATCCAGAAGATATTTTAAAACTCTTATAATTTCACAATAAAAAGGCAAACAATCCAGTTTAAAAATGAGCAAAGGAATTGAATAGACATTTCTCAAAAAAAAAAAAAAAGATACACAAATGCCCAATTAAGCATATGAAAAGATGCTGAACACCATTGGTCATTAGGGAAATGGAGATCAAAACCACGATAAAACACCACTTCACTTCCACTAGGATGACTGTAATTTTTTAAAAACCCTACAGATAACAGGTGTTGATGAGGTTGTGAAGAAATTAGAACCCCTATACATCACTGATAGGGATGTAAAATGAGGTAGCTATCGTAGAAAACAGTTTAGCAGTTCCTCAAAATGTTAAGGATCGAGTTACCACATGAGCCAGAAAATTCCCAAGAGATTGAGAACACGGGACGGGCGCGGTGGCTCACGCCTGTCATCCCGGCACTTTGGGAGGCTTAGGTGGATCACCTGAGGTCAGGAGTTCGAGACCAGCCTGACCAACATGGTGAAACTCTGTGTCTACTAAAAAAATACAAAACTTAGCCAGGCATGGTGGCGCATGCCTGTAATCCCAGTTAATCCGGAAGCTGAGGCAAGAGAATCTCTTGAACCCGGGAGGCGGAGGTTACAGTGAGCCGAGATCACGCCATTGCACTCCAGCCTGGGCAACAAGAGCAAAATTCCATCTCAAAAAAAAAATAACAATAAAAATTTAAAAATTGAAAACATGTCCACACAAAGAACTTGTACATGCATGTTCTTAGAAGCGTGCTTTTTTTTTTTTTTTTTGAGACAGCATCTCGCCCTGCCACCCAGGCTGTAGTGCACTGGTGTAAGTAGTTGAGATTACAGGCGCTTGCTACCACATCCAGCTAATTTTTGAATTTTTAGTAGAGACGGGGTTTTACCATGTTGGTCAGGCTAGTCTTGAACTTCTGACCTCAAGTGATCCACCCACCACAGTCTCTCAAAGGGTTGGGGTTACAGGGATAAGCCACCACACCCAGTGGTGTGAAAACCACCCAAATGTCCATTAACTAATGAACGCATGACCACAATGTGGCAGCCCCACACAGCGGGAGAGTATTCAGCCACAAAGAGAAATGGAGAGCTGATAGATGCCACAACATGGGTGAGCCTTGAAAACATCACACTAAGTGAAAGAAGCAAGAAAAAAAAAAAAAAAAAAGGCCGCATACTATACAATTTCATTCATACGAAATATCCAGAATAGGCAAATCCATAGAGACAGATTCTCCTGCGTCAGCCTCCCGAGTAGCTGGGATTACAGGCGCCCCTCCCACGCCCAACTAATTTTTTTGTATTTCTAGTAGAGACAGGTTTCTCCATGTTGGCCAGGCTGGTCTCAAACTCCTGACCTCAGGTGATCCACATGCCTCAGCCTCCCAAAGGGCTGGGATTACAGGCATGAGCCACAGCGCCCGGCCGCCAATTTCCTAATTTTTTTTTTTTTTCTGTTTTTTTTTTTGAAACGGAGTCTCACTCTGTCGCCCAGGCGGGAGTGCAGTGGCCGGATCTCAGCTCAGTGCAAGCTCCGCCTCCTGGGTTCACACCATTCTCCTGCCTCAGCCTCCCAAGTAGCTGAGACTACAGGCGCCCGCCACCTCGCCCGGCTAGTTTTTTTGTACTTTTTAGTAGAGACGGGGTTTCACCGTGTTTGCCAGGATGGTCTCGATCTCCTGACCTCGTGATCCGCCCGTCTCGGCCTCCCAAAGTGCTGGGATTACAGGCTTGAGCCACCGCGCCGGCCTAATTTCCTAATTTTCATACTTGTATGTAGTTAAATAATTCCTGTTTTCCCTTCCATGAGGACACAGTGAGAGGGTGGCCATCTGCAAGCCAAGGAGTCCCCCTGAGACCCCAGAGCCCCTCTGAGACCCCAGACCGCGCTACCACCCTCATCTCAGATTTCCACACCCAGGACTGCGAGAATTAAGTTTCTATTGTTTAAGCCAAAGCAACTCCATTTATTCATTCACGCGTTCATTTCACATCTATTCCCTAAGCAGTTAAGTGCTGCTGGGCCCTACCCTCAGGGCATTCCCGGACTGACAGCGACTTTAGGCAAATGATCTCCCAAATAAGCCTAATAATTACACTGCGGGAACGCGAAGGAGGAAGGGAGAGGGAGTTACCGGAGAGCCCAGATCTGCGGGCTGAGTGGATGGTAAGGCAGTGGAAGAGGACAGGCAGGCCTGGCTGAGAACAGCACAGCGCCTACGAGGCCGCTCAGGTGGGAGGCGGCCAGGGCCTGGGAATGCAGCTCAGGGAATGCGACTGCTGGACCTCCAGGGAAGCGCCAGGCGTCAGGGCTGCGATCCCGGGAGGAAGCAGGAGGGACTCCACACAGCACTTACTGAATGAATGGGACGAGGTGCATCCCCATTGTCCCGCGCTGCTGCCCCCCTCCACCTGCTCACTGCCCACCCCTACCGAGGGCAGGGCTCTGAAGGCACCTGGCAGAGCAGCCTCCACAAGTTGCCCCTTTGGCTCTGTGGCGCCAGCTCCTGTCAGGTGGCATGAGGATGGGGGAAGGGGACGGCCGAGCTGGGTCCAGAGACAGAGGCCTCTGGACAGGACCCCCAGCTGGACACCAGTGAGGCTGGCCGCGGGTGGGGCAGCTTGACCGGAAGGGAGCTCAGGAACATGCCGGGCTGATGAGTTGCTCCAGCCCTGAGTAGGCAGTGACACCCTGTGATTATAAATAACCTGCCGGCGCCTGGGTCAGCTGCCAGGCCAAGGCCTGGGGAGGCTCCTGGGGCGACAGCTGCCACCCAGCCCCCTGGCATCCCTGCCCCCTTCCCATGGCCCTAACACGTGGGGACCCGACTCTGGGAGAAGCAGCTGCATGGAAAGCCTGATAAATCAAGGAACCCAGAAGGCCCCTGCCCACCTCTCGTCACCTCTGGCGCCAGTGGGGGAGCGGAGAGCCCCCTGTCTACACCCTACTCCTACACCCAAGGACCCAACGAGGACCCCCACCCCAAGCAGGCTCACAGACCCCCAGCCACTGGGAAAACCATGTGCACGCCCGGGAATTCCAGGACCCTGGAGAAGGACGCTGCCGCTGGCACCCGCCCTGCCCCTCCCCCGCCTTCCCGAAAGTCCGCGAAGAACTCACACGACCAGGTATGCCAGGATGGAGGCCTGCAGCAACCGGTACAGCAGGCCCACCTTCTTGTTCTTGGCGATGACATACTTCTCGGTCTTGTAGTCGAACAGCGACAGGCAGAGCCCCTTGCAGCCCGCCTGCCCCATAGCGCGCTCTCAGCCGGGCCTGCAGACCGCCCGGCCCACGTGCCCTCATGGGGAGCCCTCGGTCCCTCGGTCCCGGCGCCCGTCTCGGCCCGTCTGCGCCCGCCCAGCTGCAGCCCGGGGTATCCCGCAGGGCTGAGGGGCGCGGGGACGGGTCGGGTTGGCCTTTTATTGGCGCGGCTGAGAAAGCCCCGGCTGGGGGCTGGGCGGCGGCGAGCACCGGAGCCTCGGACCGCGACCTTGCCACCTCCTCCTCCTCCTCCTCCTCCTCTTCCTCCTCTTCCTCTTCCTCCTCCTCCTCCTCCCTCCCGCCCCCGACACAGTGACACACCTGCCACCTCCTCCCCAGCCACCGGTCTGGGAGCGCAGCCCGGGATGCGCAGGAGCGCGCTACGCTCTTGCCCAGCTGAAAGCAGCGATCGCGGAGGAGGGGAAGTGAAAGGGGGAAGGGCTCCTCTTTATTTCATTTTAAATTTATTATTTATTTATTTATTTATTTATCTATTTATTTATTTTTGAGACGGAGCCTCGCTGTGTCGCCGAGGCCGAAGTGCAGTGGTGCCATCTCAGCTCACTGCTACCTCCGCCTCCCGGGTTCAAGCGATTCTCCTGCCTCAGCCTCGCGAGTAGCTGGGACTACAGGCGTGATCATTTTTGTATTTTTAGTAGAGACAGGGTTTCACCATGTTGGTCAGTCTGGTCTCGAACTCCTGACCTCAGGTGATCCGCCCGCCTCAGCCTCCCAAAGTGCTGGGATGACAGGCGTGAGCCACCGCGCATGGCCGGGAAGGGCTCCTTTTAAAACAAAATCCCCCTTTCTCTCTTCCCAAGGAAATCCCAAAGGGTTCTCCCTATTGAATAGATGGGAAACTGAGGCCAGGAGAGGACGGAAGGGGACACAACAAGTTTCTTGATTCACCTGGCGCCCGGTCTCCTGCCGGGGAGATACTTTCTTGCTCTGTGCGGGGGGAGCCGTGTCCCACCCCCGCCCCTACCGGCTGGAAGAGACAAGACTTGTCCCACCCGAGGCTACCTGTGTCTGCTGGGACTAATGCGCCTTTCTACTGCGGCAGCTGCTGCAGGTTTAGAAGCCCACACTCCGGCGGAGTCGGTGGTCAGGCAGGTCCCGAGTGCCGGCAGCATGAGGGTGGGGGTGGAGGGCGTAGGGGTGGGGGCGGGGTGACACAGGCAGCCCACCCTGGCATCTTAAAAATATGCCTGGAGAGTGAGCATGTACCAACTGCTTGGAGTGGTTCCCAACGCGCAAGAAACAGGGCTGATCCACGCAGCTGTGACTGCAGCCCTCTCAGTATGTGGAATTCAACAGGAGTGGGAGTGGGATGAGGAAGGGCCTCCTGCGGGGGCAGGTTTAGAAGAACTCCTGACAGCCATAGACGCAGGACCCTGGGTGAGCTCTGTGTGGTGAGAAGCTGTGCACGCTTATTTTCTGCATCCTGCAATCTGACCACAAGCAGTCCTGCTCCTCTCCCTACCCCTGGCTTTCACACCCAAAGAGGCTCCCTTCCCTAAGCCACAGACTCCGGGAATTGGAAGGAACCCTGAAATTCACCAGTGTGATTCTAAAGTAAAAGCCTCAAGGAAGGTCTCCAGTTTCGGTCTTGTAGTCGAACAGCGACAGGCAGAGCCCCTTGCAGCCCGCCGGCGCCTGGGTCAGCTGCCAGGCCAAGGCCTGGGAAGGCTCCTGGGGCGACAGCTGCCACCCAACCCCCTGGCATCCCTGCCCCCTTCCCATGGCCCTAACACGTGGGGACCCGACTCTGGGAGAAGCAGCTGCATGGAAAGCCTGATAAATCAAGGAACCCAGAAGGCCCCTGCCCACCTCTCATCACCTCGCATGATTCCCACCTCGCATGGGAATCATTTGGAAGAAGGCAAATTCCTTGGCCCTGCCCCTAAAATTTTCATTCACAAAATCGGAGATGGGGCTGGGAACCTGTGTTTTGCTCTCAAACTGTCATTTGGGGAAGCGTGGATCGTCGCATCCTTTCATCCATTTCAACTCAACTGCCATTTCTTCAAAAAGGCCTGTTCTTTTTTTTTTTTTTTTTTTTTTTTTTTTTTTTTTTGAGACAAAGTCTCGCTCTGTCGCCCAGGCTGGAGTGCAGTGGCGCAATCTTGGCTCACTGCAAGCTCCGCCTCCCGGGTTTACGCCATTCTCCTGCCTCAGCCTCCCGAGTAGCTGGGACTACAGGCGCCGCCACCACGCCCGGCTAGTTTTTTGTATTTTTTAGTAGAGACGGGGTTTCACCGTGTTAGCCAGGATGGTCTCGATCTCCTGACCTCGTGATCCGCCCGTCTCGGCCTCCCAAAGTGCTGGGATTACAGGCTTGAGCCACCGCGCCCGGCAGGCCTGTTCTTCTTATCGCCCACCCAAAGTAGCCCCCAGCCCCAGTCCAGCCACTTTCTATCCCATGACCCCATCTTAGTCCCTTAGAGCGCCTGTCACTATCCAATAGGATCTCGTTGACTTAGTGACTGTGTGCCCCGCTAAGACCAGAAGCTCCCAGAGAACAGGGACCCTGCCTTTGGATTTCTCTGTATGTCCCTGTGCCTGCCACATAATAGTTCGAGATATCTTATTGAATGAGTAGACAAACCTGGCCCTGATTTTTTTTTTTTTTTTTTAAACAGGGAGGGCATTTGGATTCCACCCTGCCCCAGTCATGACTGAGAATTTTAGGGGCTGAAGTCATCTTGACTCTCCTGCCAGTCCCCTCCTCAGCCCCCTGCTAACACAGCGCTCCAACGCTCACCAAAGCGGCCGCCACCGAATGACATCATGCCTAAGAAGATGCCCGTCACCCTGACAGTGCTGCTCCAGGGTAAGGTATACAGGGAAGGTGGACTTTCAGAGTCTCGCAGGAGTCGACTGAATTGCATCTGCCCTGGAGAAGAGCTCCCCTGTCAACCCCAGCATGGGACAACATGAGCATCACATAGATGGTGCCACATTGAGTCTCTCCACTCCCCAAGGGAGTTCCAGGTTTTGTTCCAGGGCCTGTTTGTTCTTTGGAGGGGTCTCTAGAGACTAGGACCTTCATTTTTCAGGGGGGATTAGGGAAGGGGTGAGTAAGTGAGGTCTCAGAGCCCTCTACCACTAGCCCCAGTCCAAGGCACTCTGCTGTTCTCGATTCATCAAACCTTTGTGTGCTGCTGGAGAGGCTGAACTGCCCGGCACTTGCTCTCCGTGTCCTGTCTTAACTGCCACTGTGGCTTTAGAGAAGGGCTCTGCTCTGACTTCCCCTCCAGTACAGGCAGCCCCTCCTGAACTCCCCACAGCACAGCCAAGACCAGGCTGCAAGTTCTGACAGAACTGTCCTGAAGCTTTAGGGACCACATGGGGGCATCTAGAGGGGACAGGGCTCTCGGGGACGGGACCAGGCCCATCCTTACGGGGTCCCTTACTGCACAGCTTCATAGACTAGATCCAGACCCACTGGTGAGGCATGACATCAAATTACTGGGTGACAACCAGCATAAAAAAAGAATAGATTTGGCACAGGCACTCATGCCTGTAATCCCAGCACTTTGGGAGGCTTAAGCAGAAGAACTGCTTGAGCCCAGGAGTTCAAGACCAGCCTGGGCAACATTGCAAAACCTTGTCTCTACATATATATATGTGTATATATATACATATATACACACACATATATACACACACACACACATATATATACATATACATATATATACACACATACACACACACACATATAATTAGCCAGGTCAGGCACAGTGGCTCATGCCTTTAATCCTAGCACCTTGGGAGGCCAAGGCAGGAGGATCGCTTGAGCCCAGGAGTTTAAGACCAGCCTGGGCAACATAGGGAGACCCCTTCTATACAAAAAATAAAAACAATTAGCTGGATGTGGTAGTGTGTGCCTGTGGTCCCAGCTGCTTGGGAGGCTGAGGCGGGAGGATCACTTGAGCCCAGGTGGGTTGAGGCTGTAGCGAGCCATTATTGCAACACTGCACTCCAGCTTGGATGATAGAGACCCTGCTTCTTAAAAAACAATTCCCCAGGTGTGGTGGTGCACACCTGCATTCCTAGCTGCTCAGGAGGCTGAGGTAGGAGGATCTCTTAAGCCCAGGAGTTCAATGCTGTAGTGAGCAATGATCAGAAACAGAAAGAAACAGAAACAGAAAATATTGCCAGATGCAGTGGCTCACACCTGTAATCCCAGCACTTTGGGACGCCAAGGCAGGTGGATCAAGAGGTCAAAAGTTTGAGACCAGGCTGGTCAACATGGTGAAACCCTATCTCTACTAAAAATACAAAAATTAGCTGGGTGTGGTGGCACATGCCTGTAGTCCCAGCTACTCAGGAGGCTGAGACAGGAGAATCGTTTGAACCCAGGAGGTGGAAGTTGCAGTGAGCCAAGATCATGCCACTGCACTCCAGCCTGGGTGACAGAGAGATACTCCATTTTAAAAGAAAAAGAGAGCCAGGCGCGGTGGCTCAAGCCTGTAATCCCAGCACTTTGGGAGGCCGAGACGGGCAGATCATGAGGTCAGGAGATCGAGACCATCCTGGCTAACACAGTGAAACCCCGTCTCTACTAAAAAATACAAAAAATTAGCCGGGTGCGGTGGTGGGCGCCTGTAATCCCAGCTACTCCGGAGGCTGAGGCAGGAGAATGGCGTGAACCCGGGAGGCGGAGCTTGCAGTGAGCTGAGATCCGGCCACTGCACTCCAGCCTGGGCGACAGAGCAAGACTCCGTCTCAAAAAATAAATAAATAAAAAAAAAGAAAAAGAGAAATAGAAAATAGTGTATTTAAGGAAGTGTGGGTGTTATGTGATTTGTTTCAAGTATGAGTGTCCACATTGTCCACACAGGGCATTGTGATGTGGAATATACTTCTTCCTGTGGATCACAGTCAAAATAGTGTGGAAAATACTTACAAGCTGTGCCCCCGGTATCTGCATTCTATCTCCCCATGGCTGAGGCCAACTCACCACCCTCACAAGCACATGCCAGACACCCATTGTGCCCAATGGGGAGACGAGGACTTTGCTTTTTACATCTGCTTTATTAAAAGTCCATGTCAGGGCCGGGCATGGTGGCTCACGCCTGTAATCCCAGCACTTTGGGAGGCTGAGGCGGGCGGACCACGAGGTCAAAAGTTTGAGGACCAGCCTGGCCAACATAGTGAAACCCTGTCTCTACTAAAATACAAAACTTAGCTGGACGTGGTGGCAGGTGCCTGTAATCCCAGCTACTTGGGAGGCTGAGGCAGGAGAATCGCTTGAACTCGGGAGGCGGAGGTTGCAGTGAGCCGAGACTGTGCCACTGCACTCCAGCCTGGGTGACAGAGCAAGACTCCGGCTCAAAAAAAAATAAAGTCCAAGTCAGGGACATTTCCAAAACCAAGATGAAGTCTCCACCGAAGAGAAAAATGCCTGCTGCTTTCGAGTGCTACAGTTTGGATATGTGTCCCTCCACATCTCATGTGGGAATGCGACCTCCCGTGTTGGAGGGGCCCTAGTGGACAGTGTTGGGTCATAGCTGTGGCTTCCTGATGAACGGCTTGGCGCTCTCTCCAGGATAATGAGTGAGTTCTCGCTCTGGTAGTTCACGCAAGAGCCAGCTGTTTAAAAGAGATTGGTACCTCCTCCTCTCTCTCCTGCCGCCTCTCACCCTGTGTCATGCCAGGCCCGCCTTTGCCTCCCACCAAGATTGGAAGCCTCCCGACACCTCCCCAGAAACTCCCCTCACCCCAGCCAGGGGCCCGGGTGAATGGCTGGTTTTCAAAGCAGTCACAACCCCCTCACTGCCTCACCATGGCACCCCTCCTTCTGCTCCCTCACAGGAGTCCACATCATGCTTCCCTATAATGAGTAGAATCCCTTCCTGTTCACCTGAAATAAAGGATGGGATGAGCAGTGACTGTTGTTCCGTTGTTGCCTGATTCACAAGCCTTTGTCTAGTTCAAACTTGTCCAACCGTTGGCCCAGGATGGCTTTGAATGCAGCCCAACACAAATTCACAAACTTTCTTAAAACATTGTGAGGTTTTTTGGGCAATTTTTTGTTTTTTCAGCTCATCAGCTATTGTTAGTGTGAGTGTATTTCACGTGTGGCTCAAGACAATTCTTTTTCCAATGTGGCCCAGGGAAGCCAAAAGATTGGACACCCCTGGTCTAGTTGGATGATTTACGGTACCTGCAGTGAAGTGATGAGGACTATAAAATGAACTTCTAAAGGGACATTTTCTCTTTTTTTTTGTTGAGAAAGAGTCTTGCTCTGTCTCCCAGGCTGGAGTACAGTGGTACAATCTCAGCTCACTGCAACCTCTGTCTCCCCGGCTCAAGTGATTCTCCTGCCTCAGCCTCCTGAATAGCCGGGACTACAGGCACACACCACCATGTCCAGCTAATTTTTTTGTATTTTTAGTAGAGATGGGGTTTCACCATGTTGGTCAGGCTGGTCTCAAACTCCTGGCCTCAAGTGATCCACCCACCTCGGCCTCCCAAAGTGCTGGTGAGAGGCAAAGCCAGCTGGACTTCCTGGGTGGAGTGGGGACTTGGAGAAGTTTTCTGTCTAGCTAAAGGATTGTAAACACACCAATCAGCACTCTGTAAAAGTGTATCAATCAGCACTTAGTGTCTAGCTGAAGGATTGTAAATGCACCAATCAGCACTCTGTACAATGGACCAATCAGCACTCTGTAAAATGGACCAATCAGCAGGATGTGGGCGGGGCCAAATAAAGGAATAAAAGCTGGCCACCTGAGACAGCAGTGGCAACCCGCTGGGGTCCCCTTCCACACTGTGGAAGCTTTGTTCTTTCGCTCTTCACAATAAATCTTGCTGCTGCTCACTCTTTGGGTCCACACTACCTTTATGAGCTGTAACACTCACTGCAAAGGTCTGCAGCTTCACTCCTGAAGTCAGCAAGACCACAAACCCACTGGAAAGAAGAAACTCTGGACACATCCGAACATCTGAAGGAACAAACTCCGGACGCACCATCTTTAAGAACTGTAACACTCACCACGAGGGTCTGTGGCTTCATGCTTGAAGTCAGCAAGACCA